TTCTAATGATACTTAATTGATTTTGCATAGGCTGTGCAGCAGGTTATCACCAACCTACTAATTGGGCAGATAGAGCTTCGCTCGGAAGATTCTCCTGATATTTTGCCGTATTCTCACGAGAGACGAGTTGAAAAGCTTGTTGTTCCTCTTGGTGAAGAACTTGCAGCCATTCAGAAGACATATATCCAAGTATGTGGTTTTTACCACAATTCTCTCTTCAGGTTTTTTTTTTGGGGGGGGGTATTGGAGCTTGAACTCAGGATCTTGCACCTTGCCAGGCAGGCATTTATGCCACTGAGCTATCTCCTCAGTGCTTTACCACAGTTTTGATAAATGAAGTGGTAATTATTTCAGTTAACAGAATTTGACTGTAAGAATATGTAGAATTTTATATCATTAACATGTTGGAAAAACTTTGAAATAAAATTTTTGCAGTGAGTCTTATGTATTATAGCATTAACAAGCTTATCATTTCAAGGAAAGGTACAAAAGATGGACCATTTCTGGGTTTGTGTTTTTTTCAAATAAACTTTTGAACCGTAGTATGAAACATAAACATACTCAAACATGCATGAAAAAAGCAAGGTGCTTACCAAACGTGTGTCCTTCACTGAATTTTCACGTATTGGGCAAACCCATGGTGTACTGAGGTTCCACCAGAAGTTTTTTTATAATGAAATATATTTTCCATATTTCCTTTCCTGATCCCTGGTACAGCAATTGGTCTCAAATGCAAATGATTTTCTCACCTGGAGACATCTGACAGTGTCTTTTTTTTTTTTTTAAATATATTTTTCTGACAGTGTCTTGACAGGTGTTTTAATTGTTGTGAGAAATGAGATTTAGTGTACAGTGGCTGTTAGCGTCTGGTGTATCGAGGTCAGGAAGTTATTAAATGTCTGATAATGGACACCACAGTGTGCTGTGAAAAAGACTTCTTCGACCCAGCTGTTGATGTTGTAGCAGTTGAGAAGCTGCTTAGACAGCTTTCACTTTCAATGGGAAATCCAGGCCCAGTTGTTGTCCTGTAGTCTGTAATTAGTCTGATGGTAGGATTGTATTTTCAGCCCCTCCTGGCTGTGGCCAACATTTTGCCTCTTTTTCCTCTGCAACGTCGTGTATGTTTCTGCTTCCCTCAAATCCCAGGAGCCCTGTGACTGGTACTGAGTGGTGAGCCCCACCTTAGCTGTAGGCCATGCTGGGGATGAAGGAACAAGGAGCTGGAATCGGGTGGGGATCCCTGGGCTCAGTGATGCTATTCCGTGCAGCTGCCAGCCTTCTGAAGCTATGGACACAAGGGACAGAGGCAGGCTTTCCCCCACAGTGCTTTCGTGAAATTATGTTACAGTAATTTCAGTCTTTTAAGAAAGTTGCAAAAATGGCATACTTCCCCTGGGAAGATACTTAGAGACTGCAGCGGTCCTCTGTCTCCTCATGTTTCGTGTCACTGTGTGGTGATAGTTCTTAGTGCAGCAGTCATTTCCGTGCTTTGGCCCAGTTGTTGTTTCTTCTTTGATTTCTTCTACAGTTGTGAATTTGAATTCTTCTATAATAAAAAGTTGTTTCTTCTCCACCGTTTACTTATTAATTCAACTCGGAGGGTGGACTAGTGAATATTTATTTTTTTCTATGAGCTACAATCCAAAGCTGCTGTTGTATGTGATTTCAGTTTTGAGCATGATGAACTCCTTTAAGACAGTTTCCACCGATGTGATTTCAGTTTTGAGCATGATGAACTCCTTTAAGACAGTTTCTACCAAGGGTCAGGGATATAGCTCAGCGGCATAAGTACCTGCCTGGCAAGCACAAGGTCCAGAGTTTGATCCCCAGTACTGAAAAAAAAGTAACAGACTTTGGGCTGGCAAGATAGCTCAGTGGACTAAAGTGCCTGCCTAGGGACTGTGGTTCAATCCCAAGCACCACATGCTGCGCCAACCCCACCCCTGAGTCCCTGAGCTGGCCAGAGGCTGGGCATAGTGGCATAAGCCTGTAATCACAGTGCTGGGGGAGCTGAAAGCAGGATCACTGTGAGTCCCTGTTGTGCAGGGAGACCCTGTAGCAACCAAATACATTAAAAAAACAACCCCCCCCCCAAAAAAAAACACAAAAAGACAGTTTCCACCAGGCAGCAGTGACGCGCACCCGTATGATCATGGCAGGGTGAGGCAGGAGGATCACAGCTTCAGCCCAGTTGGGGCAACTTAAAGCCTGTGCCTCCTCCAAAACAAAGGAGCCTCTGGAGTGCTTCAGGGTTGTACCGTGAGGGGCCCCACGCCCCCACACGCATTCTGGCATCACGCAATATTTTAAGTTTGTATACTTACGTTTTTCCTGTGCCAGAGATAGAAGTGTTCGTTTCCCTAAGGATGCTTTGTTCCTTCCAGGGCAGAACGCTTAGACACCAGCGTCTGCGCACCGGCTGTGCTTGTTCAGGGCCTCCGTCCCTGCTTCCAGGTGCCGTGACCCACGATGCAGAGCGTGAGCATGTACCGTGGTGCTTGCCCTCATCAGATGTGTTCTGAGACTGTTGTATGGTAGTAGACTAGTAAAACAGTGACTTGTCATTCAGTCTGTATTCTTTTTTTCTTTTTTGCCACTGACAAGAACTTTTATTTCTTTTTAATGACATTAAACACAACTGCTACAAGGAAAAAAAACATAAAAAGGAGGCACCAAACTTCAGTTTCTTAACTGACTGACAACAATATAAGTCAGTCACAGTCTGTATTAGATGTAAAAAATATATTTCAGGTACATTTATTACAAATAAGCTATTTAACCAGCACATTGTACTCTGCTTTGTCCAGGCCCCTGTGGTAGGAATGTCATGGATGAACAAAGCTAGGGAAGAAGTTAAATGCGCATGGGCTGGTGAGATGGCTCAATGGTCTAAAGCACTACTTAGAACAAGCTAAGCCAAGCAAAGCCCAGGGACCACGGTCCAATCCCCCAGCACCACATGCCAGCCAGCCCCGCCCCTTGGTGGGCTGAGCTGGCCACACACACACAAAATAAATAAATAAATAAACAAATAAATTAAAAAAAAAAAAAAAGAAGTTAAATGCGCAAAACCCTTACTCAAATTTAAAAATACAGCTGGGATTCCACCCGAAGTAACTGGGCATACAGGTCCGCACCAAATGTGAGACAGGCAATTTTTTTTTTCTTTTTTTAAGACAGGGTCTCACTATGTAGCTCAGGCTCACCTTGAGTTCACTGGGTAGCCCGCCTGGCCTTGAACTTACAGGGATCCTCCTGCCTTAGCCTCTAGCCTCCCGCGTGCTAGAATTATGGGTGTGTGCCACCACACCCAGCTTATATTCTTAAATAAAATTCAAAAGAAGTTTAGTGGGAATATGGATTTTCTAAGCTATTCATTACAAAATTTGAAATGGCATTAATATAACACAGGATATCTTTCTAGTAGTTACTTTCCTGTGTTTGTCTTTTTCTTTTTTTGGCCTGCACCAGGCGTGGAGCCCAGGCCTTGCTCATGCTAAGCAAGTGCAAGCCCTGAGTCCCAATTCCATCCTAGCCTCAGTATCTCAAATGCTGATGTGTTTTTAAAAAAAATTATTCCATTTAAAACAATATATAAAAGTTATTCATATACTCACAATAAGTTTTAGTTATATTAATAACATTCAAATGTGCTCCTTTTTTTGGCTGAACCGGGGATTAAACTCAGACCCTTGCACTTGCCAGGGAAGCGCTTATTCTACGGAGCCATCTCCCTGGCCCTCAAAAGTGCTTTTTTAAAGAGTATAATTATTAGCAAAGCCTGAATGGAAGGAAAAACTTAATTATTACGTGTTGCTGTGGTAGATAGGGGAGGTACTGGGAATTGAACTCACAACCTCGCTTGCCTAAGGGCAGGCACCTCTGCTCCTGAGCCACATCCCCAGGCTTGTGGGAGGTCTTTGTCTGGTGTTCTCTTTCCTTCAGTGTGCCATGAATCTCATCTACCTTTGGCCTCTTTGCTTTCTGAAATGCTCTGTCTTCAGAACCTCACTATTCACATATCGGCTTCAATTCTGTGACCATTCCCATCCCGCAAGTACGGGGGATGGCACCCTCAGGGCCTTTGCAAGGAGGTGAAGCCCAATTTCCTTTTTAATTTTGAGACAAGTGTTGCTAAGCTAACAAACTGGGCCTGTACTTGTGATTCCCACTCAGTCTCCCAGAGTGCTGAGATTACAGGCATTCATCACCAATTTTAATATATAATGAAATGGTTTTATTTTTATATTTGCAGATTTTGGAAGCGTTTGCCAGTCCTCTGATTCACAGGAATATTTTGATGAGAAGGGATATCGCCAATCTAACAAAATACCAGCTAATTCTGGCAAGAGATCAGTTTAGGAAAAACCCTCCTCCACATGTTGTGGTAAGTATTTTTAAATAAATCTTTTTTGATTAAATTTGCACTCAGAGCCAGGATAAATCTGATCACTTTCTTACATATTAGAAATGAAGCCTTTAGATATAATGTATATAGTTTATGAATGTATGAAAAAAGATAGTTTAATGATTTGAATTAAGATATGTTTACCTTTTAACTCTGAATGAAGAATTGGTTGTTCAGCCCATTTCTATGTTGTGAAGTCAGAGAACCATGAAAAAGTGTATCCTAACACTGGGCCTGGAGGATGAGTATTTCTTTGGTTCATCATGACATGTGCTTCTTTTCTTAGGGACTACAACAAGGCGTCGTTGAAGGAGAGTTTGCAGTTTGTATTAGTTTATATCATGGCTATGAATTATTGCAGCAAATGGGAATGAGATCATTGTATGTTTTCCTTTCTGGAATTATGGATGGAACAAAAGGTAAATTATGTGAAATGTAAAGAAATAATGGCAAGTATTAGTTTTATTTAAAGACATTGAATATATTGAGTGTTAGTTACTGTTTTTAACAGCAGTGAGATAATTATGTAACCAAAGGTCATGTTTCTTTGTTGCGGATACACTACTGGAAGAAAGTCACTTAATGTGCATATGGATTTTCCTGTTTGCATTTGAGAAATCTGCATTCATTGTCAGTTTAACTTCTTTTTAATAAGTAGCTTGATGAGATTTGCTATAAAGTTTATTTGTAAAACTTTTTCTTAATTTCTGAAGGGATGACACGGGCAAAAAATGAACTGTGCAGGAACGAGGACTTCGTGAAACTCTACAGTCACCTGGAGTGCGTGTTTGCACGTACGTGCAGCACTTCAGCAGCCGAGACGTCTACTGTCCCCAGAGGTCTGATTTTTCATATAAAATTATATATTGTTTTAACCAGGTGTGGTGACGTACCGTTGTAGTCTCCGCTACTCAGGAGATTGAAGCATGAAAATTGCTTGAGCTCAGGAATTTGGGGCCTGCTTAGGCAACATAGCAAGATGCTGTATTAAAAAAAATT